GGACTCGATGATCCCAAGAGTCTTTTCCAAGCTGAATTGTTCTATGATTTATGATTCTATGAAAACAGCATCTAACACCAAGAGCCCCGCTGAGCAGCACAGCCTTTCGCAGGGTACTGAGCAGCTCATCAAACCTTCGAATCCTGATGCAATCCCATCCTGAGCAAACACCCCACCCCGCTGGTGCTGCCAGTGCCACAGCCAAGCGCCAGCGCTCTGCCGAGCTGGCACGGCCGCACCCAGGCGAGACAGTCACCGGGGTCTGCAGCCATCTCACCCGATGGATCACAGCGATATCTCCCAGAAATGCCTCAGATTATGACAGTGCACATGCAGCCATCAAGACTCTTTTTAAAAAAAAAAAAAACAGAAAACAAAAAAACCAAACCACCGACAGAGGCATGTATAATCTATGACACCCTGTCCCCCACTCCATTTATGATTATTTCAAAAGTTCCTTAAAGGCAGATGGGCCTAAAGGTCAATAAACCAGTGAAGAATCAAATCTGAAGGAAACAAGGAAACTTGGGTCACATTGAAACTCTGGGAGAAAAGAGCATTAACTTTGCAGAATAAGGACTTGTGGCTGGAGGGGCACAGAGAATCTCTGAGCTCTCAGGCTCAGATGCCAAGTTTTATAAACCCGCAGTGCCAGCTCCTTTGATATCCTAATATTTCACATTTCCCTGAAGAATTTAGCCTCTAGAGTCAAGTTACTTAATGAGAAGCAGCTTTTGTTTTAACCTGTGTTTTCTGCTTCTTCATAATTTTTTTAATGACCTTAAGTACCTCTCCTACGAGAGATTATTTTTTAATCTCTTCCTTTTGTAGGATTTACTGTGATCACTGGCTTTTGGCCACACACTTTAGATCACAACTTCAGCTGTTGTGTGTTGTACAAGCTAAACCTTCCAGTACAGGTATAAAACATCATAAAATTACAGAAGAAGAAATATGAACCAATTTCTTTACAGGATATTTCACTGCCTGGTTTCCCTCCTCCTCAGATGCGAAAATAATATATCCTATTAATTTAAATCTTATTTAGCTGTTCCATGTCTCCACAGTAATTGATTGGGCTTCAGACACTCAGCCAGAAAACATAATCAAATCAGGTTTGCCTGGTGACTGTGCCGCAATACAGTGTCAGAGAGCCTCAGTCCCCACACTTGCTCTAATTGATTAAAAGATTTGGTCACTTGCACATTTCCATTTAGACAATTAAGCTAAAGAGACACTACAAACACAGCAAGATCAGCTGAGAGCAATAATGGATAGTGACAGACTATTTCTGTAGGGAGAATTATGACTTAGGCGTATTGCAGTAATTAAGGTATAGTTTGGGGGTTTTCTTTTCCCCCCTCGTGCTCTTGATGCAACAGCCTCAGGAGTTCAACACAGCACGACCGCTGCCTGGCGGGGGAAAACACCGAACGAATGAATTATCTGCTTTCCTTGTCCTCCAAAGCAGCTGCCACATTCTAATCCTGCATCACCAAACTCTCAGCCAGCTCTCCGAAGTGCACAGGCAGGGAAGCACGAGCCAGCAGTCACACCAGTAAGGGGGCACCGGCAGGACTGGTATCCACCGGGGACATAACGCTTCCAGGGACAAGCAAGAGAAGGAAAGTCCCAGCACACAGTCAAGCTACATTCTTTCATAGCAAAACAAAGAAAAATAAATCTGAGTGTGTTTGGATGCTGGCTCTTTCCATGACTCCTGGTTTAGGACCAAAACGTGCCAGTCACCACCCGTCAAGTACAGTGACATCCAGTTCCCAGGGGAAGCGGCTGAACTACGGCATTTTTTGCCAAAGTGAGGAAGAGAAAAGAAAAAGGCTCCTTGGCCTTTTCCTCAGTAATCCTGGGAGAGCTGCAGTGGTTATGCAGTTGGAAACATTGGCAGACTCTCCAAATGTCAACACCCTGAAAGAAGAGATCAAGGAGAAATAAAAAAATTTAAAAAATCACAGCAGCCTTATCTCCAACTTAGCGTGCAGAGCTGCACAGCGAGACCAGCAAGACACAAAACCAGTATTAAAAATTTTGCCAACAGTAGATCAAAACTACTGCTTCATACGTCTCCAACAGCACAGATGGTAACTGCTAATAAGAAGGTAACATGTTTACCCTGCCCAGCCCCTGGTGCCTGCAATTCCACAGTTAGTCTCACATGACTGTGAATCTGCAAGGTGCAGTGGGTTTAAAATAAAAAGTATATAGATAGCTGCAGGGTTTTTGAGCTGTGCTGACATGCAACCAGTAGGGAGGGAAGAGTGGGTATGGAAGTCGCTTTTTCCTACACCAAATTAACCTGAGCAGCCCAGCTCACAGGCACACAAAGGCTGTAGCAGCCCAAGCATAGGATCTAAGAAAGCAATCAAAGTGAAGAAAGCTCCTTTCTGCAGTGGTTCTGGTTTATGTGAAGCTTAAGGTGTACACAACGTGAGCCTTAGGATGAGGCTCAAACTGAGCCTTAAGCCTTCCAGCTCCACAGAGTTGAGAGGACAGCTGCAGCTTGCATGGAGGAGTCAAACAAGTGCAACCCGTTCCACCTGCAGAAGGTAAATAAATGAGAACACTGTTCAGCACAGTCCCCCAGAAAGCTGCTTCCTTGCGTTCAGGTTGTCACCATTAGTTAAAATAAGTATTCTAGCATTCATTATCATTACGGCTGCTGTTTCCTGGATTCCTCTTAAAACTGACAAATGGCAGTTACAGGACGATGAGTTAGGGGCACAGGGAATGTATCCCACATGGCAATTTATTCCAATTACTGCACTTCTCCATTTACACTTGTGTGACTTCCCTGATACAGTCCCCTCACTCCAGACACAGGCTTTGCTGCTAAGAAACACCAAGCTGGGTCATTCTGAAAGAGTCTGCACTGCAACACTGGAACAAAATGTCTCATTCTGATGTTGTTGCTTTCTATTTGCTGTTTATGATGGACCTTCTGGGGAGAGACAGAGGGACAACAATATGCATGGCAATCTTCTTCCTACCAGCACAGTCACCATGGCAGAATTAAAGGCACCACTTCTAGCTGATACATAAAAAAAAAAAAAACTTGAGCAGCACATTCATCTTCCCAGTCATTAAATTGCTCTGAAGAAAAGCAGCAAAACTTACACATTAAATATGCCATTTGCTGTGTCCTTTCAAGCTGAGCTATGATGAAAGTCCATCAAAAGCACCAACTAACATTTTGCAATATCGACTCCTAAATGCAAACTTAACAGGATGACCAGTGTCGAATGCTTACGCTTAATATTAACATGGGAGACAGCTTCAAAGCACCTTCAAAATTATAGCAGTGCTCTTGCACTGATGCTGTCATTTAAATATCCTCATGAAACATTTATATTATTAAAACTTGAAGACTGTGAAGGCCAGAAAGCAGTACTCAGAAGAATTTGGCTGGTTTTACATGGAAATCTTGGGATGTTGGACACCCAGGCTCAGGGATGAAATGGATGTTACTGGCAGCCTGGATATTCATGCCCTGGGGTAGGCATAAATATCAAAAGGAAGCACAGTCCCCATGGCATGAATTAGCTAGAGCAAGGTAGAAGACAAGAGAATTAAAAGAATAATCTTCATGTCCTCCTGCTCAGTACAATTTCTTGTCACTGCTTTTATTTCTGCTGAGCCTCTTGGTCTCTCTCACCCATCCCAGCCCACATTACCCCAGCCCAGCAAAAACCTCCGTTGGAAACCCAGACATTCTGGTGAGCAAGCAGTGCCAGAGCCCCTCCCAGTTCAGATCCAGGCAATGCTCATTTCCTTCAGAGGATTAACAACAAAGTAATTCCTCTAAGTACAGGGTTCACTTTAAATACTAGAATGGAAAGTCATTTATTAGCTACTGTTTCAGGAAGGCAACAGTTACGAGTCATCACTTTCCGCTCATCAAGAATGCAATTGGATTGGTGAAGGTACTTTAAATAAGAAAAATGGTCTAATTTCAAACCAAAGACACTCACATCCTCAGCACCTTGGTGGCTTTGCCCAGTGTGAGCCAGCCCAAGTCCCAGACAGTGATCTCCAGAGGGAGCCAAACCTCGACCAGGGGCTCAGCACAAGGGGCAGCGAGAATTGCAGGGTGGGAGGTGGAGAGGTACCACTCTCCTGCCTCCCCTTCCTTCTGCTGGTCCCCAGCAAACCTTGCTGGGGCCCAAGTCCTGGTTGCACAGGACACAGTTCTAAGCGAGGTTGCAGCGGGGAGCCCTCAGATTCTCTGCAGCCTCTGAGATGTGGAGCCCACCCACTCAGCTCACCTGCTCCCAGCCCAACCCCCAGGCATCCCTCATGAGCACAGGCACAGCAGGGCAGCAACCCCTGTTCCCTTCCAAACCCTTCCTCTTCCAGCCTCCAGCCGAAGAGGGCACACGAGTGACACTGCCTTAGGTTTGAGGAACAGGATGGCAGCAGAGTGGAACAGAGCCCCCCCCATCTCAAAGTAAACCCACAAATACCTCCAGCAAAAGACGCATTTGTTGGCACAGGCCAGGCTTGGCGTGGCCTCCATGCAGCGGTGGCTCTCGATGCCGTAGAACGTGTGCTTGTAGCAGCCTCCTCGGCCTCGAAGCATCGACTACAGCAGAGAAAGACACAGAGAAATACCAAGAAAGTTAAAAAAACCCCACACCATCGGTAACGAAACTGAGCGCAAAGGTTTGCAATCTGCTCCCTGGGCGTATGTGCAGTTTTCAGCCACGAGTAACTTGGGAGTTCAAAGCCACTCCGTGATAGACACTGGAAGCCAGGTGGCAGCCGCAGAGCAGGTCTGAGCAGGGACAGATGCAGGCTGAGTTAAGAATTTCAGAGCACACAGAGCGGTATACAGCGTGTCTGTTTATATACATCCTAACAGGAAAAAAAAAAAAAAGGCATTTCTCACATCAAATTTACAGCCATTTTAGAAGAAACTTTTAACATAATCAATAACTTCTCACTTGCAGCACCACAGCATAACAACGTGCTTTACTACAGCTCTTAACTGTATCCACTGACAAAAGAAAGCGAGAGGTCACTTAAGCTGCGAGAAATATTATTGTAAAAGATCACTAAAGAGTAACAAGGATCAATTTCAAGGCTGCTCTACTCAACACTCAATTCTTTTCATTTGTCTGGTAGACTATTTCTTCTAGCACTAAATTAAATAAATAGCCTGACCTTATAAACCCTCATTCACACCAGTCAGTGGCTCCAGCAGGACGTTGCACTTTCCTTCACAGCAGAACCACAGCAGCTTTCCCACTGGGATTTAACTCCTACTTAGCATGCAAGTTGCTTGGAGCAAAGACTGTCTTTCATTATCTGAGTTAAACAATAATAATAATAATAAATGAGAATGAATCCTTACTACTCTCCACAGAAAGTCTGAAGTATGACATAGTAACTTGTAATCTACCTTCCTCTACCTGAAAAGACTTGGTCATCCAGAAGAAATTCTCCACTGAGCAGCAGGGAAAGATCATGCAGGTAACCCCTAACACAGGCACAGCCTTGTCAGGCAGGTAGAGGATTAAACAAAATTGAAAACGCTGCTTTTTCTACCCACTCCTCAAACAATAGAGATTTCAGGAGAACAGGTTTTGTAAGACAGACACATATCAACAGACTCTTCCCAAATTTTGCAGGTTTTACTCACTTATGCAGAATATGACAGAACACAATCATCTTAATCTGAGGCATCACCAGGAAGCGCTACTTAACACTAATCCTTCCAGCTCTGCTCCTGCTTTCCGCTGATACAAATCTCAAACGCGCCTCCCAGAGATATTCACATGCTGGCACGAAACCAAGGCAAAGCCACTGCCCGTAACCAATTCCAGTTCAATTTATTAGAACACTTTACATTCAATTCCTGCTTAAGCTCAAAATAGTATGGTCCTATCTAAGCACACAGAGCTGCTATTTATCTTGTGAAATGGCTTTACAGGGCTGCATTAAGTTCCGGTTCTTTAATAAAAACAGGTTCTCTGGTTTTCTCTCTGTCACAGCATTGATGAAGTTTGACAAGTTGTTTTTTTTAAACATTTCATGGCCTTCTCTGTCACAAAAAGCGATAGAAGAGAGAAATATTTGTAAGAGTAAACAGCAGATGCATCACCACGTCTCACAAATATTCATGACAACACAGCGGTGGGCTCTTTAAACCGTTCACGAGAACAAGCCTTTTGATGAAACAGTTCATTGATATTAAGCATTTCAATAAAAAAAAAATCCTCGCCGCAGCCACCCACTTTGGCGATTGCCATTCAAAGAGCTCTTTTCAAAAATAAACAAAGTTAATCATGCAGCAAGAGAGAGCTGAGAGACCAAGGAACCGATCGCTGTCGCTGCACAAGGATTAGAGATGTGCTGACATTTTAATGAGGTGACGATTCCCATAGTTCATCATCCCACGAATGCAGAAGCCTTTAGTATGTTACAGCAATGTCACTGCCCAAACGTAGAACATCAGAGACCGGCTTGCAGTTTCTGAGCTTCTCAAGGACCTGCGAAGGGCAGCCGAAACAAATATAACGAAGCTGCTCGAGTTTGCTCTACAGGGCTCTGTGCCTCCTCTGGAAACGTTTTTAAGTCTGCAAAATATTTGGAAAGGTTCTGGCTTACACAGCTTAAAATACATCACTTGGAGGATGAGTTTTTCCTCTCTATCTGCACATACATGCACACATTATACACAACCATATACATACACATTCCCACAGACTAATTTTTTTTAAAGTCCTAGCATTAACAAGCGACAGTTCCATCGTTACCTGAATCTTACTTGACAAGTGGTGAAAACCAGTGGAGGGGCACTGGCTGTCACAAGCCAGATCTATCAGCCACACCCCGACAGGCTCAAATGCCCTTGTGCACCCATTCAAGCGGAGCGACAGGCTGCGGTATCTTTATTTCCGAACACCTCACACTGGTGACGTAACCTTCCTACTTTTCTCTGTGGTATTCTGCTCCTGCCATATATTAAGTAGGCAGGTGGTATTTTAGCAGACAGCAGAATAACAGGAAAAACAACCGAAAACGATGTTCCCAGATCTTCGCCGTGGTCGCGTTCTCACTCTTCACAGGGTGATTTTAATAGCTTAAAAGGCAAAACTGCAGCTCCAAAGATGAAATTTGGGTTTGTGCAAGTAATATCACATTTTTAAAGGATATTTCATGTGGGAATTGTAGTATCTGAATACATTTATAGCTTTCAATAACAAAAAATATAAAATGAGAAAAGAAACAAGAGAGCACACCTTTGTCCATCGGCAGAGCTTCACCCCAGAATGGCTTCCGATTAGTTTGTAACCTGAAAGCAATCAAGAGAAATAATCAAACAATTCATTTTAACCTCCAACAACCAATGCACAAAACATACCACTCTACACAAGATTATTAAACATCACAGTCTCAATCCTGCTCCTCCCCTTGGCCCAAAGGGGACCTTACCAAGTAGATGCCAGTGCCCACCCTCAGCACTCTCCATCTCATTCCAGGAGCCTGCACAAGGTCACAGCAACCCAAGGGGCTTCAGTCAGCTTGAAATGGTTTTTCTTAATTGGAGATTTATTTACATTGCTCACTCTTGTCTGCGGAGAAGACTTCCCCGTATACCAGGGCGGCAGCCTAACAAGCCTAGCCCAGCGCCGCGGGAGATGTCACCGGCCCAAGGGACAGCACACAGGAGGGAGGACAGGGAGCCGGAAGCACCTGCCCGGCCCTAAGGCATCACCCTACAACAGACTCTTCCCTGCAGCAACGGAGACCTAATTCCCACTCACCACGTCTGACCCAGCCTGGAGGACGACATCTGATTCTCAGTGCGGCTGCGAGGGCAGAGGAAGAGAACCGAAACGCAGGGCTCAGCTTGAACCCAAACTTCACAGGTCCACCAATTCCAACTCCACTGGCTGTGGTGGAACCACAATGAGGGAGCTGCTCCTCCATGCTTGGGGGAAAGCTGATTTTGCTTCACTTCCCATTGCCCAGCCAAGATCAACACAATTTCATTTAAATTTATTGGTCCAGGAGGATTAATTCCACAACGTTCATTAAGCACTAAGTACTATTATTACCCAAAACCGCTTGAGTTGGGTTATTTTCCTCTTAGAAAAAAAGTGCTTAGAGACCAATATGTCTGAAGGATTAAAAGTCACTTCAAAATCAGCATAAAAATAAGAGGGATTTGAGAAGCCTTACTGTGTCATTCACACTGAAGCATTTATACGTCAATGGCCTGGTTGTCCCCAAACCCAGCATGTCTCAACCAGCTGTTTTAGGCTGACGTTTATATTAACACTTTCGGGAAAAGCAATCAAATTGTACCTGTCAAGTCTCCTTCCTGCCAAGCAGCATGAACTTCACAGGAAAAAAGCCCTGTGCTCAGCAGAACTAGTCTTCACCTCCTGCAACCAACAGTAGCACGATTACCCTGTCCTGCACAATTGTCACCGTGTGTCCCTTGCACAGCAAGATCCCAGGGGAGAGTGACTGTGCCCCGGGGTCCCCCACACTGAGCCAGCCAGGAATCACAGGGAGAGCAGATGCCACAACAGCTGCACCAACAAAAATTAAGCCACACAAAGAAACACGTAAACACGTTAAAAGGAAACACAGAGTATCTAGATCACGCTGCTGCCACTTAAACCCAGCAGAGACCTGCCCAGTCTCCTCTTGCCTCTTGGCCCGATGCTTGCTCCAGTCTCCTCACACTGGCTCCTGCCTTGCTGGGGAGTTCGAACATACACGATTTTAGCTTGACAAGTGATGCTCCAGGAGGCTGCACCAACCCTTGGGCCAGCACAGTTGAGCCAGCTCACAGGAGCAAAAAATAAGGACCCCACATCAGATAGCCACAGGGCCAGCCACCAAATTAAATGAAATTTGGAGCCCTCCCATGTCAGGTTGCTTCCACGTCCTGAGCTTCCTCTCCTCCTCCAGTTCTGTGGGAAGAAGTAATATTTCAACCTCTTCCTCCCCAATACAGCAAGGAAGAAAAGACTGACGTAGGACAAAAAGCCTTGGTATTTCACACAACAGATCATCTAATCCTCTCCCCAAGAAAGACATCAGTGTCACCCCAATCAGCACTTCTAACACGGGAAAAATAGTCTCCAAAGCCCTACACAATATTGAGAACCCCTTTAACTAGAACTGGAGGACACCCAGAAGACCTTGTGGCAACTTCTAACTGACGCTTCTCAGAGGCACGGCCAAGCACACACGGCATCGTCTCTCCCACCCTGGGTCTGTCCCACCTCTTCAGCATTTCTTTGCAGCAGGTTTGTCCAGCAAGGGCTAATCTGAACTGAGACCTCCCTGGGCTGTTAGAATTTGTGTCCTTACAGGATTTCCTGACGAGTGTTGAAAAGGGTACTGTGCTCCTCCTCCCCAAGCCAGAATTTTTGCTTATGTCAACCAGCACAGCCTCAGTCTTATTTTTTTCCATTTTTCAGAATCCAGCAACAGCATTCACGCAAGATTATTCTCTCACAGATCACTTGTCACTAGAAGTAATATATCTGCTTTAAAATGGATTTTAGATTAAAATTAAATTGGAAACAGGACATGATTGCCCAAATCTGCTACTGCTGAGCAGCTTGAGGGAAGAGAGGAAGCAGCTAAACCAAGGAAGGTGCCAAGCTCCAGAGCCCAAAGCTGCAGCATTTTCTCTTAAGTTACTTAAACCAACTTCCATAAGGAGCGCCCACAGCTTCCTTTAAAGGCCAAGAAAATTGTACACGTTCAACATCAAAACAGAGTCTTACAAACTTCAGCCAGCTTTAGCGGTGAGAAGGGGTTTACTCATCTTGCTTGCTGCTGCCAGGAGTCCCAGCCATGGTTACAGGAAGGAACAGCGTATACTTGCAGAACTTCTTAAAACCACTGCATGAAGCTGTTGAACTCAGGTCTTCACTATGTAGGTAACTGATTAAGTTTAGTCCCCCCGCGAAGCCAGCGAGCACTGGCCATGCCATGCTTTTGCAGACTTTTGGAAATTAGATAAAATAGCAGTGACTAAGGCTGTACACTTTTTGTGCACCTACTCACAGCGGGCAGAGTCCTTCCAGCTCTGTAAAGCCGGTTTCTTCAAACACTTGCCCTACTGCTGGCCAGTAACACAGACAGCAAACCGGATCTCTCATCCACTGGGACAGGACACTGCTATCTGTACATCCATGTCCAGGATATCAAGGTATTTTGGATGTGGCTTTGCTAATTAACCAGTTAATGCACAGAGCAAGCTGTGCTGAACGTGGATGAATGATGTGCATAGGTGAGCTATTATGTTATATTAACTCTGAAAGAAAAACAGATAAATTTGTACAATGGTCCACATCAGAAGCACTTCCAAGATATCTGCAGAGTCTAAAAAAAAAAAAATAAGAGAATGTATCTGTAAGACAGGAGACGCCTTCCAGTTCAGATCTCTACATCACCAAAAGCTTGCTTCAACAGAGGACTTCGAAAGCACAAAGCAAAAAATTTAATTATGAAAGCAGATCAGCAGTTGAAACATCCCCAAAAGGTACAAGAAAACAACTCAACCACCCTTCTCTAAGAGTGCAGTCTCCAAGTTTGTAAAAGCCAGTCTGATGCCACTTTGGGCTTCACACACTCAAATGGCTTTCATAAGGCTTTTCATTCGAGAAGCAGAATATACAGCTGACAAATCAGTGTGGTTCTATCAAGGAATCTCCTCAAATAGAAGTCCTCTGGTTTGAAGCAATGATTATCCATTAAAGCTGGAACTCGGTGCAGAAAGGGGAATTTCACACTAGGAGTGTTTACAGGCAGGAAAAAAAAAAAAAATCCAATTTCCTGCCGTTTTATAAGAGTGCAGTTTAAAAGGGCCAGAGCTAAAGGTCAGTGACACAGCACTTATACATCACCTCCACTTAAGAATCATTTGGAAAGTTGTAACACAACATGAGCACTTGAGTACCCCTCAAAAGACAAGGTTCTAACTAAAGCTAGAAAATTAAGAAAAAACAAAAAAAAACCAAATCAAACCAAAACAAAATGCTTCTGGTGAAAAGAATCTGTTCAGGTCATATCAGTATTTTATACTGACATAGAAAGAAGTGGAACCTGGGCAGTGGAATTTTTCAGCCTGCCCAAGTATAATAAGAGAAACCTCCAGTTTCATTCCTAGCACCATTCAAGCCTAAAAGAAATTTTTGCCAAGCCCATCAAGACCTACTTCAGGTTTTCTTTTTTCTTTTTTTTAAAAAGAAAAAGAAGAAAGTGCTCTCAAAGTACAAAATGCTTGTGATTTGTGGAAGGACTTACTTGCACAAACTCAAAACAGGAGTGAGGACATGAGAAAGGACTGCAGGAACATACCTTCTATGCAAAAACACCATCGCTCCAAAATGGATTGGTCTTTTAGCCAAGCTGCTGAAATGCTGCTTCAGATCCTTCTCATCACACACAAAACTAAGAACATCTCGAACACTTTCAACACATGGTAAAAGCCCACTAAGATGAGTGAAAGAAATGCAGCTGCTTCAGCAGGCAAACCAAACAAGTTGCTACAGACAAGACTTGTTTGTGTTGTACCGAGTCACTCTTTTTCAGCCATTCCAGGCACATCTTTCTCCATATTTCCATTTGTAGAAACTGTCCCCTTGCTTGGGAAGAGTGTCATGCTATTGAGAAAGGACCAAAACCATTATCCTTGCCTGAATATATCTTGTATTTTGTTCCAGCTTAACAGATTTAATTTCAAAGACCAATACTCCCCAAAGCCTTTCCAAAACCTAAAACACCCAAATACAAGTGCTTCAAATATAAACACATTTATGCTTATTTTCCTATGACACATGGGGTAATTATACCAGTAGGTACATGAGGGAAGAATTCAGCAGGTAAAACTAAGCTCCCACCATCTCCTCTGGTCCTGATAAGCCATTACAGCTGTGCCAGCAGACTAGTATTGCAGTCAGCTCACCACCGGCGCTCGGCAGCTTCCAGAGCGTGGGACTTGAGCATCTTCTTCTTCCTGGATCCTTCTAATTGTGCATTTGCTCTTTATTCACACAGACATTTTCTAAGGAACTGTAAGAAAGCTCAGCAGGCATGACCTTGCCTCGTTTCAGTCATTGTGTTTACTTAGTTTACTGCAAATAATTTACTATTTTGCAAACTAATTTTTAAGCCTTCCCACGGCTGATAGCTGAATTTGGTGGAACGCTTCAGGGACTGCAGCAGCGGTACCAATCCCTGACCCAGCTGTGAGCTGCTAGTGCCACCTGGAGTTAAGTGGCTATACATAAAGCACGGCAACCCCAAAGATGCGCGCAAACGTTTTAGCAGACACCCAGCAGCAGGGATCTCCGAGCAACATCGCTGCACAGCAGATCTCATTCCCAAAGTCTGGAAGCTCAAAAAGCTCAGCCAAGCTGAGAGGATCAGAACTCAGAGTTACAAGCACTAGAAACCTCAGTTCAAGAACAGACAGCGAAAGCCACCAAGTACTTCTAAAAACCTAATCTCGAACCAAGATGGGTGAAAAGCCCAATTGTCAAGATTTTTCTGAAGTCAGCCTCTTGATTGTCCATAAAGACTGAAAACCACAGATCGAGGTAGATCTTCCTATCGAGCATGAAGTCAAGTAGTTCCTGAAGCAGCCCATGCTACTTCAGACACAAGCTGTCTCCTAACACCACTTGCCTTTGGATACAAGTAAAAGAGGTATGCTGGACACCCTGATGTTAAATTGCACTCTCAACCAGGAAAGATCGAACAACCCAAGTGGACTGCAGCAAAACTGAACCTGCAGCAGAGACAACAGAATAATTTATGCAGCGTCAGTGAGGTCAGTCTTTGTGTATCATTAATCCATTCCCATCGCGTCGCCTACCATGAAAAGCAGAGTTTTCTTTTAGTAGGCTACAGTGAAAAAGAACAAAGCAAAAAGCATGTCAGAAAGACACGGTATGAGCAGCTTAAGAAATCCAGTCTAAGTCCTTGGAATCTCCTGAGCAAACAATGAGCTCTTCAGAGGTTTGAGTTTGTTTTTTCCTCTCTTTTATTCCTGCACATTTAAAAGAATCACAAAGAAGACCTGAAGCAGCACTAAGTACAAGCGTAACTCAATTGGGCTGATGGAACTGGCTATCGCTGTGCAACATCGTGTTTGACCTCCAAACACTCCAAGAAGTCAGCTGCACCAAAACAATGATTCCCCCAACTGCCAGCCTTGGCTTTCGGATTCTGTGGGACAATTTGTTTGGCTTTCAGTCTGACCATCGCTATCAATAAAACATTTGGCAAATCAAGGAGCTGTTAAGACTAACGACAGTTAACAACCCGAACAAAGCACAGGTCTTTGCGCTATTGCTGCACTGACCTTAGAGCAGCAGGAAAATGTAAGAGTCGGTATTTTGTGCTCCTAAAATAAGCACAGCTGAGAGAGGGGGCACTGAAGGAAGCCTCATGGGGTCACAGTGGATTTTTTACTGTCATCCTTCCTTTTAAAACAACAGCTTGAGACTCTCTCTAATAAATGCACTTCATGAAAAAAACCAGGAGCTCTGGAAAGGCACATGTCACCACATATACAGTCTACCAAGTAAAAAAAAAACCAAAAAAAAAACCCCACACATCACCAGCCCAACAGGGACTGTTTCAAGAATCCAAAAGCAACTACCGAAAGCAAATGTGAACACGTTAGGCTCAATCTACTAATCGCCACGGGAAACACTAATATGAAAATGTTACTTCTATTTTCAGTTTATTTCATGACATCTACCTAAACAGCTGAAATTACCAAAGCATTAATACAGCAAAATGGTACCACTGCAAATCTGTAACACACATCTAAACACTTCTTCAGCTGTCAGCCTTGCTCTCCCCCACGATATTTGCTACTGGGAGGCACTAAACAATTCACGCTGTATTTCTATTTTATGCAAGACTGCACACTGATGGAAAGGGAATCAGCGTTTACTCACAACATAATATTGGCTGTGATTTTAAAAAGCAACTATTATAGAGCATCTTTTTATAAAGGTATTTGCAACCAGGCAACTACAAGGGCTAACACCTATACAACCCAATAGGTGAGGCTATATTTAGCTGAAATTCAACACTGGCGCTAAGATAAAACCTTTATTTAAGCAATATTCAATTTACTAACAGGAAGGTAAATTTGCCTAAAGGTGAATCGCAGTAAAAAGAGTATTCCTGTAGTCTGAAGGGATGCTGTTCAAAGGCAAACTTCTGTTATGCAACTATAATTTGAAAGAACAGTTTTCTCCTGAAACCACTAGCTCAGATTTTTCCTTCTCCTGGGCTAATTATGCCCTCAGGGATAATCTTGAAAAGACACTGAACCTACACCCAAAGCAACCAGTTGTAGGTAGATAATCTGATTTATCTTTTGACTACAGTGCATTTATTTGGAGGGGACTGGTGCTGAGGGAAGGAGGGAGTTTTATTTCTATAGCCACAAAAGCCTGTCCTGGTCTGTTATTTGCAGAAAAAAATCTGTAAGACTTATATATAATGAGTTATATGACTCCCCCCATACTCAGCACTGCTGAGGCAACACCTCAAATTCTATGCTCAGTTTTGGGTCCCTCAGGACAAGAAAGACATTGAGGTGCTGGAGTGTGTCCAGAGAAGGGCGACAAAGCTGGGGAAGGGTCTGGAGAAAAAGTCTCTTGAGGAGTGGCTGAACGAACTGGGGTTATTCAGCCTTCCTGAAAGGAGGTTGCAGAGAGGTGGGGTCAGTCTCTTCTCCCACATAACAAGTGATAGGACAAGAGGAAACGGCCTCAAGATGTACCAGGGGAGGTTTGGATTGGACATTAGAGAAAAAAAACCTAAAGGGCTGTGAAGCACTGGAGCAGGCTGCCCAGGGAAGTGGAGGAGTCACCATCCCCGGAGGTATTTAAGAGATGTGCAGGTGTGGTGCTCAGGGACACAGCTCAGTGGTGAGCCTGGCATCCCTCGGTTAACACCGGGACTCGACAATCCCAAAGGTCTTTGAGAAGCCTACCCTCTGGGGCATGTGGGACTATTCTCTCAAGCTGCATTAGCAGATACACTAAACCCTGTGAACTCTGTCACACTCTCCACACGTTTTAAGTGTGCATCACACCGAGACTCGTCACCCAGCTTTAGATTCTTCCCCCACAACACTCAGGTACAAACAGCCTCTCCCTAATCTCTGGTTAGAGCCTACCGTGACCGAGGGCCCAAAGTAGTACCTTTAACACACAGAACACCCTGTTCCACTTGCTCGGTTAGAAGTCTACCACTAAGACTCCAAATCCTAGTCCACCACGTGGTCTTTGCAGAACCTCACCTTGTTTTGTGAGCGCTTCTCTCAGGGCCGGGGTTATCATCTCTCTCTTTTCACCCTCCTCCTTCCTCCCAGTGTTCTCTCGAGTCAAGTTCGTTCCAACTTCTCCTCCCTCGAGCTCACATTCTCTCTGTTTGAAGACAGTAAATTACAGCCTTTTAGATTCAAGCACCACTTTTAAACACTGTGGCAGTGTCCAGCCACAGGTCTGCTACACTTCAAGCTGATGCAAGTGCCCACACATGAATTCTTGTATTTGTGTAGTCCTGCATTTCATCCCTCCTGCCATCAGGCTCCGTCTCTTCAGTAATTTAGGGCTGCAAATTTAAAAAGAAAATAGAAAAAACCACCACACATTATATTTGTTCTACTAACACAGCAATAAAACTCTCTAGGACATTTTAAGAAGTAAGGTATCTGAATCTCATCTGAGTCAGATGGACTTCAGGATTTAAGCCCAAGTGCTTCACAGCTGCACAGTAACCTTGTCTCTCTGCAGAACACAAACCAGCAAAAATAAATCGTTCTGTGCCTGACACATAACTGCCAGGAGCAACAAGCAGCTATTGTCCCAATTATTTATAATATATCAGGGAAGAAAGCTACATCACTATGATGACTTAGCCCAGGAGTTTACAGAGGAGAAGTTGTGCTCTTCACACGTCACAGCAGCCACGTGCACAACCGAAATTCAGAGATTGCCAAAGGTCCTGCAAGAGAAGCTTGCTCCCCTCTGTCCCACAGTCAACCCCAGACACACAACCTGCAGCATCTCACCTAAGTTTCCCTTCCAGTAGTTTCTCTTCTGCTTCAGAGACAGTTAAGCCCCTGGACCTTAGTTAAAACCTCACAGAGGAATAACACGTATCAGCATAAAGTCATGAGCAGGGGAAGCAAACCCCAGCACGTAAGAAACTGTGAATCCCCTGCTGTGTAAGCATCACTTCAGAGACTTTAGGGGTATTTATTGTCTCACATCTGCACAAAGAAGCATGAGAATGTAAATAATTACTCTGATATTTCATGCAACTTGTAATCTGTCAGTCCTTTATGGCTTTTTTTTTGAAACATCAAAGGAGTTATGGATAAACAACAAACAAATACCAAGAGAGGACATTTTGTTTTCACAAAACTGAGGCTATTTCACATTCAAACCTCTTTTGTGCCAAAGACATCAAAAAGTTCATGCAAACGCTTCCAGTCTGAGTCTACCCACCAACTGTTAGCATCACTAAGGAAACCAGTGCTCTTCATCTGCAAACCGTGTATTTTAAAAACAGGGAAAGCAATCGAGCTCCTCCTAGACACAGACAGATTTCTTCTGTACCTGAACAAAATTTCAGAAAATAAAGGTGCCTCAGAAGAGACCAAAAGAAAAATTAAAAAAGGAAAAAAAACCAGCACACCAGCTCACAGCCTCAGAGGTTCATGGATAAAACAGAGTTCCTAATAATTCCTGTTAAGTGAACGGGAAAGTAAAACATTTAGGGAAGAGCTCATTACTTTTCTTACTCATTTTGAATAAAACTTTGCTCACAGTTTCAGAGAGGTTGCGCAGGAAGGTATTTTCTACTGATCACAACATGGTCTTTACTGAAGGAGGAAGCTGTTCCCATTTTTCATCTCCTTACGTTGTTTGCTGATTTTTTAGGCAGGATTTCACTGTTTCTGTAACACATCAAAGCCTTCTCGACAGCCTACCTCTATGAAGGACTTGTCATTTGTTGGGTTTAAACACTCATCCCTGGAGACTTAATATTAATTTATCAGCAAGATGCTTCAACAGCAAAATATTAATATTACTGGAAAAGCCTCAAGCATAGGAAGGAGATGAAATCTTCATCTTTCAAGTCTTAAGTAAAAAGCTTCTCTTCCCACGGGCTAGCATTTAACCCAGACCCCGGCCCAGGCATCCACCTAAAGAGGAAAGGCACAGTCTTCGAACCAATTTGTCAGCTACTCAAAGCCAAACACCCCACAGGATTTACACGCAGACACACCCTGGCCTGCCTGCTCTACAGCCTCATGCCAGGTTTATTCTCCAAGAACCATGAAAGAATGCAGCATATCTTAATATTAAAATTGCAACACCTGACTCAGGTACAAATGACACATCCCATCCAAGCCAGTCTTCAGATGCAGGAAAAGTCTTTCTGAATTTAAAAGGTTTGCATTGCTACCTGCCTGTTCATAGAATCATAGAATGGCCTAGGCTGGAAGGGACCTTAGAGATCATTTAATCCAACCTCCCTGCCATGTTGTGCCCGTTACTGCAATATCTGAGAAAAGCACCTAAACATAAGTAAAATTGCCTTCTGCCCTGCCAGTAAACACATTTCAATAATCATTTTTCTCCTCACAGAGATGGTAATATTTTTTCCCCCCTTATCCTGATGTGAAAGCCTATAAACAAAATAATCATTTGTTTTTCTCTGAACTGTAATACCTGACTTCTTCAGTTTGGCAGGTGATTGCCTTCAATATTTCTTGTGGGAAATGGAATTCACAGCCCTGGAAGTTTTACTTATTTCCTTAATAAACCTGTCATATCTATTATTTAAGGTTTGAGCAGCGAGAACAAAGTTAACTTTACACAGAGCAAACTTCTCAAGTTCTGGTGATTTAGCAGAAAGTCCTGTAGTAAATCCAAGGCAAATTACTGTCTTTCCATAACAAATCAAGCAAGAAGCGACAAGACCCAGCTTTTCACGCCCTTGAAACACTTCACTGCCAAAAAAAATGAAGAGTCATCCTCTGGTCTGTGTTCACAAATGAGAAAGCCTGGGGCCACGCTCCTATTCCTTGGTACCTCAAGGCTCAGCTCCTGCTGCAGCCTGACGGAGCTCCTGCGTTCGGAAGTGCTCTCTCCAGGACATCAAGGTGCCTCCCAGTAACTCCCTGGGTTTTCCATTTTATTACATCAAACTCATCAAATCAATATTCTAACAGGTAAGAAAAATAGAAGAGAGATGTAAACTCCGTGCAGAGTGTTTCCCCAACTTAATTTAACATTTTTAGCATCATGGCTCTATTTACTGATGCATCACAGCTGGTGGGAAACAAAACACACAACAACAACAAAAAAGAACAACCAACCACACAATCCACAAAAAAAAAAAAAAAGCCACATACCCTAAGAAGTTTTTACTCCCAGAACAAAAAAGGCACATAGAATAACCCAGTTTTGACTAAACTTCTTTGCTACTTAACCTCCCAGTGGTCAAACAAAAGGGAACCCTTGGCCTTGGCACGATTTAGAGCCTCATCCATCAGAAGGCTCCAGGATCTTTTCACAAAAGAAAGGCATAAACATTAAGAAAACAGCAATACATCAGGGGCTGGAGCCAGGACTAACAGAACCCGCACTGAAGGGAAGTGCTGGCAAGGCCCTCAGAAGAGGACTGCCTGGCAGCAAGAAATATTAGTAACACTTTCCCAGAGGAGTCATTAAATGAAGTATTAAAGTGTGTGAGTGACATGAATGAAGAGTTCAAGTTCACACCAAGCAGAGCTCTGGAGGCAACACTCCAGTGGCAAGAGGACGGCCCGAAAAGCTGACAACTTCCTTAGCTCAGGCTCATCTGTCAGTGGCACGACAGGCAAGAACCACGTGGGGCTTTTTTGGAAGTTGACCAGACCTCAGACTGCCCACAGGAACAGCACTTGCAAAGCAACCTTCCTGCAAGACTAAAATGCACAGAGACAGACCAGGACAGGGGAGCAGGCTTCCAAAAGAAACTCTAGAACACAACAGCAGAGGAGCAGGAGATCGCTAGCGCGCTGTGGGGACCTTCGTGCTCCAGGTACAAAGCTCTGTCATCCTCCAGCCCTAACAGAGGCAGAACTGCAATTTGCTCAGTCTGCGGAGGAACCCTCCTGTCAGTCTTGGAGTGACATGGGACACTCTAACTGCTGTCAGTCACCAATAACAAGGGCTTTGAGCATTTGCGAGTGAGCGTGAAGATGAATACTGGGAACTTGGATGGAGTAATCTGTGAACCAGCAAACAGCTCAACAGCATGAAAATATTACAAATAGCTACTAGAGTCTACATAATCACAGGCTACATACCCACTCCACACAGAGCTGCCCAGTAAGGCACAAAAGCCTGAGCCGAAACAAAATGCAGACAAAGCGTGACAGCCAAGCGATGGGGAACTTGGCAATCCATTACCTTGGCAGGGCTGAAATAGGAGGTGGCTTTATCAAAAGCGAAAAACACAGAGTGAGTTTTCAAGAAGTGTCCCTAAAACGAGGAAAGCCTCTGAGAAGTTAGTTGGTAAAAAAACACCCCAAACACCAACCCAAACTACACATCAAAAAAAAAACCAAACCAACAAACAAAAAAAACCCCTAAACACTGAAACAACTCCACACCAAAAAACAAACCTTAGAAGCAAGATTTCTTTTTTTCTCTTGGAATAAAAACCTTTGTGAATTTTCAATAGCAAGCTGGAAGGAAGTTTCCATCCACATTTACCTCACTGTGCTGAAGAAGATGAGAAGGTCCCTCATGTTATTCTGAGGCAGCAGGTTCTAGCTGCCATCCAAAGCAAGGCTGCTATTCAAACAGACCTGCAGCTCAGCCCCGACAGGGGGAATCCTGCATTTTCTTGTATCTGAAAAATCAACACTGAGATTTTTTGGATGTATACAACATTATTTTAAACACAAACTTGTTCAGACAATAATGACAGAAGACTTACGCTGCCATCCAACTGAATCAGTCTGAAAGGGCTCTGTGCATCTTCTGTTAAATGCAGAAAGACAAATGATCCCACCAACGTCCATTTTCTTGTAGGTTCAACATCAGCCAGAATCCTTAAGGACTAAAAAACTTTCAGACCTCAACTCTAAAAATATCTCTGCATGGTTACAGTGGGGTTAAAGATTGCTTCACGCTGTGCTGTAACATTGCTGCTCTGCCGTACAGAAGATTTTTTACGATATGCCATTAAGCTACAACTCTATTTCACAGATTGCTGTGTGATCCTGTCAGCGTTTGATCGGGGAAACCTCCTTGGACACACCATGAAGACAACTGACTTTCAAAGGAAACAAAAGAACCAGAACTGAAAATGTGTCAGCCTCCATCCAAAAGTGACTAGCTTATATTTGAAAACAGGGCCT